TTCTGATTGGGTTCGCTTATTTTGAACATATTTTGATAATTTAAATTATTCATCTTATACAACTAATGGAGCATGCCACTTACGTAAAAAATTGTGTTCATCTGATATTGATAATTACATGATCAATTTAAATGTTTCATTATCAAAATTAGGCTTGCTATTTGTTTTATTTAAAAATAAATAAACAAATATGGTCTATTCTTATGATGTCTTGCAAAATTAACCGATGAAATTACTAAAATAAATCCGAGATGGACACACGCAATCTCTCACAGCACCCTGCTATGCACAACAGGTACTCTCTGTCCTTTTCCCCCTTATTAAATGACCAAAGTGCACAAAAAACATGCATTATTATATTATCACATGGCATGCCTGTTGATGATTGAAGATTTATTATTGATACCACTCATGCTAAATCTTCACGAAGTTAGTATCTAATTTTATCAATGTATCTATATATATGTTTACGTATGGATGATGAACTCGTGTCATCAATTTCAAATTATCTATCCATCCTATTGGTTCTATATAAGATAGATTGGGGAGGTTGGATTTGTGAAGTTTATTATAACTTTTTATTTGTTTTATGATTTGAATTATTTATTTTGTACGAGTTCTCTGTGTAATGTCATTTATAAAAAAAAATGCCACTGCCACCACTACCATCACCACCACCACTATACCACTCCACCACTACCACCACCATTACTGTCATAACCCAAACCCGCCCCTATAGGTTTAGCACCGTAACCAGCCAGTAATCCTTGGATTAACAAAGGCCTCCGAATAGAATAACATATAGTTAGGGGCTGTGGAAGCAAATATACAAAATATATGTAGCCCATTGAGCTGTGAAGACATACATGGGACTAATAATTTAAAAAATTTATAAACTAGCGAGTGGCGTCAAAAGACACAATATTTACACATCACTCCATGAACATATTATCAAAAATCTTGCTCGTAATTCAAAAGAAACAAAATCTAGTACATTCACAAAAACAGCCACTAAACTTGACTTAATCCGGAACCTCCTCGGGAGGCACAAAGGTTGGCTGACAAAAACTGAAACGCTAGGTCCTCAACTTTGAGCCTGGTCACGTGCTTGATCACCTACATACATAATATAAATAGTGAGCGAAAGCCCAGTGAATAATAACAGAGTAAGGGGTTTTAATGAATGATGTCCATACCAGATTATAATTCAGATTCATAAACAAATTCATATTCTTGTTCAAATCATATACAAAAATCAGAATTCATACTTAATCATACATGGTACATTCATTAGCGCTAACAGAACAGATGCAGAACATATGGTGGTTATGAGTAACCAGTTCCATAAAGAAACCTCCAGATCTGGGTAATAGAGAATAAACATGCTGAGCCCCATGATGGAGCCTCTGGTACGGGTAATAGATGACAGACATAATAAGTTCCATGATGGAACCTCCGATACCGGGTAACAGCTAACAGATATCACATGATGCTAATGATGCCACGAATACATTATTAGAAATTGGACAATCATTCATAGTACAGAACATATCATTTCAGAAAACAGATCTTAATTCATCATACAGAAAATAATAAAGTTGAACATAACTTTACTAAGTTATTACTCACAGATAACTTCGGGTGCAGACAGACAGAGTAGACTAATCAAACGGTTTACGGCACGTGACCTATTTCGACACATAACAAATACACATTTGAAACACACGTTGGAATATATTTAACTCATTACGTTCCGCTCTTAGTGTGTTTCTACATTTTACCCTCATTACTATGTCTTAATCTTGGCTTAGGAATGCCTAGGATGCAATGAAGATGCTAAAATGCATTGGAAAACACTTGGTCAAATTTCGTAAAATAGGGTCCCACGCTCGAGCGTTCTACAAATTTTGAAAAGTATTAGTTATGCGATTTTCACGCTCGATGGTCGCTCGAGCGTAAGACTCATGTCCTCGCTCGAGCGCAACTCTTGATGCACAAGCAGTCTGCAAAAACATAAAACTTCTAGGACCATGTATTTCACGCTCGAGCAAGCTTCTGGTAGCTCGAACGGCGATGCAAAAACAAAGGTGGCCGCTCGAGCGCAGAATCTCGTGCTCGAACGGAAGGCCTAGACTGTGTAGATCTTGAGGAGGGCTCTGGTGAGAATGTTGATGTATCCCATCTGTGCTTATTAGGAAGGATTCTAACCCTAAAACCCCTGAATCGACAAGCTGTCATTAAAATTGCCCAAGGGGTTTGGAGGCCTCGGGAAAAGGTGATTATCTCCCCTTGGCCAGAGAACACTTACTTGTTTCATTTTGACGATATGGAAGACCGACGACGGGTCCTCTTGGAGGCTTCTTGGTCGGTGATGGGGTATTTATTGGTCTTTTAACCCCTTTCTGTAGCAAAATCTTCCGCAGAGATGGAGTTTCAATGGTGTCCATTTTGGGTACAAGTTCATGGTATTCCAGTTGCCAAGATGACACGCCAGAATGGGGAGATTATAGGGCATCGAATCGAGAGGCTTATTGGGGTTAAGGCTATGCATGATGGTCTTCTGCTTTATCGTAGCTTTCTCCGTATCTGGGTGGAAGTGGATGTTTCCAAACCACTGCCACTTGGTTTTCTTCTACAGCAGAAGGGCCATGCGACCAAAGACACATGGATCTCTTACAAGTATGAGAAGCTATCGGGTTTTTGCTATGATTGTAGAAGAGTGGGCCATAAGAAATCTGCATGCAAATTTGTATCTCGTGAAGAAAGAGCCAAGTCAGGGAATGGATCGGAGCTGAGAATTGGTCGAGCACCTAAGTTAGCCATCTCCGATGCCCACATTCACCATTGGGTGGATATGGTAGAGGAACGAGTTCAGGTCTTGGCGTAGTAGCAACCACCGATGGCGGCACGTAGGAAGGACGAGCCGCGACCCGGTAACCACAAGCCCACTAGTACAATAAGGACAGACGTGGGTGTACATGTAGTCTGTACACCTTCCCAGAGGCCCAGTGTGGAGAATGGTAGGAACAGTGGGACAGGTGGCCAGACTACGACCCTAACGGTAATGGCTGAAGAGGTGAAATCGTGTTCACTCAAAGGGGGAGCAAACGCCTAACCCAGGAGTGAAGCAGCACTGTGCAAACCTGGGGCTTATGAACCAAGTGTCAACGTCTCCGACCCAATCCAATGTTGGGATTGGGCCTCAATATTTTGTTACTGAGCCTACAGAGTTAGGGTCCAATTTGTTGGATAGCCACACTCTTGTGAATGGGGTTGGGCCCAATCCTGACTTTCATATCGAAGAACTGAGCCCAAATTCTAGCTCGTCCAATTTCTCTGTCTTGGAGTGGAGTGTTGATATGGGCATGGCCCAGATTTTTCAAGCATTGTCTATCAAACAAAAGGTTTGTGATGACTTTGATGCCTCACCCCATGTATCTAAAATATTGAAAGCTGCGGGAATGGCTGAAGCTATGGCTTACAAACGGATCACCCCAGTGACGAAGGAGAGGAAATTACTGCATGACAGCTCGACAAGCTATTCACGTAGACGAAGGAAAGCAAGGACCTCTAGCCAATCACTGTTTGAGGCTCGAATTGCTCCTTCGGAAGATGTGGTAGATGATGTTTCTTTGGTGCCGATTCCAGTCCATCCGGTACATGAGGAGTTCGATGATTATGTTTCTCAGGTATCAAGCACTTTTCCCCTGAAGAGTGAGGACTCTACTGCTTGGGCTTTGGTGGCTGGCCCTTTACAGCCACGGGCTCCAGGTTAATGCTCAGCTAGAACTGTCAAGGGTTGGGGCGACCGCTGACAGTCCAGATCCTCCGAGGGTTGGTCACAACCCATCGTCCCTCTTTATTTTTTTTTAATGGAAACTAAGAATAAAGCCTCTAAACTTGATTGTCTTAGGAGGCGACTTCACTTTCCTAACAAATGTTACGTCAACCCTATGGGTCTGTCTGGTGGTTTGGCGCTTTGGTGGCTGGATGATCTGTGTGCGGATGTTAGATTCAAATCTCCTCATTTGATTTGGTGTGTTATCGGCACCCCAACAGGTGCGGGGCTTTGGAGGGCCTCTTTTGTCTATGCTCCTTCAAACCGGGTCGAACTTAGGGGATTCTGGAAATTTTTGACCACTCAAGCCAAGGCCAATCACTATCCTTGGCTCTGTGTAGGTGACTTTAATCAAGTTGGTTCCATATAGGAAAAGATGGGTGGCTTAGAGTGCAATCGGTCTCAGATTGTAGTGTTTCAACAGTTATTATCTGATTGTAAATTGATGGATCTGGAATTCAAAGGCCACTCTTATACTTGGTCTAACAACCAAGTTGGTGAAACTAACATTCGTGAGAGACTTGACAAAGCCTATGCAACTGTGGAATGGCGTGAAAAGTTCCTCTATGCTCAAGTTCTTCATGACTGCTTTATTGAGTCGGACCATTGTCCATTAGTTGTCCAGTGTTGTCTTCCTCCAAAACCAGTCCCAAGACTGTTTAAGTTTGAAACGATATGGTCTACGAGTCCTGTCTGCGGTGAAGTCATCAAAAATGCATGGGCCACTCAGGTCCATGGATCTTCCATGTTTCAGTTAACAAATCATCTGGAGACTTGTCGCAAGGGCTTGATTGCTTGGAGCAAAACTGAATTTGGCAACAATAAAAAACTGCTCGCAGAATGGAGACACAAGTTAACCACCATTCAAGGCCAAGAGCCTACTGATGAGAATCTTCGCCAGCAACAAACCATTAAATCCCACATTGATGAGCTTTTGACAAGGGAGAAGATGTTTCTTCACCAAAGGTCACGAGTCAATTGGCTTTCTTATGGGGATCGAAATTCAGCATTCTTCCATGCTACTCTTACCCAATAACGTCAACGGAATCAGCTTGTCAGACTTAAAACTGAGGAAGGGATGTGGTTGGACTTTGATGATGATGTTAATTCCTACATACATCTTTATTTCTCTCATTTTTTTACATCAGTGGATTATAGGATTATGCATGAAGCTTTAGCAGTGGTGCATTCGATGATAACATCTGATATGAATAGGCTGTTAATCAGGGAGGTATCGGAGGAGGAAATCAAGACAACAGTTTTCCAACTAGGCTCTATAAAGGCCTCGGAGCCTGATGGGTATCCAAGGTTTTTTAACCAAAGGTATTGGGCAGATATTGGGGCAGACGTTTACAAGGTTGTCAAAAGTTTTTTTTTGTTGGGGGGTCTCTCCTATAGGAGATAAACCAAGTAAATTTAGTTCTCATCCCAAAAGTCAAGGCCCTGGAGAAGCTTTCCGATTTCCGGCCAATTAGCCTCTTCAATTTCAACCTCAAGATTATCACCAAAATTCTGGCCAACCGGTTGAAAGAGGTCCTAGGTAAGATTATCACTCCAAATCAATCGGCTTTTGTTCCGGGTCGGATGATTCAAGATAATATCCTGGTCGCACATGAGGCTTTCCATTTCTTAAAGTTATAAAAAAGGGGCACAATTTCGAACATGGCCATCAAGTTGGATTTTGATAAAGCGTATGACTGAATCCAATGGGACTTCTTTCTAGTGGTGTTACAAAAGATGGGCTTCCATGATCAGTGGACAAACTGGGTGATGCAATGTGTTACTAGGGTCACTTTCTCGGTTTTTGTCAATGGAGCTAAGCGTACATCTTTCATACCTTCTAGGGGTCTTCGACAAGGTGACCCTCTGTCCCCGTATTTGTTCATTTTGGTGGCGGATGTTTTATTGAAGCTCCTTCACTAAGGTTTGTTGGCGCGAGAATTCTTGGGCTTGAAAGTTCGGCGAGCTAGCCCTATTTTGTTCCACTTATTGTTTATGGACGATGTTTTGCTTTTCCTCAAAGCGAATGTCCTTCAATGTCAAAATCTGCTCCACATTTTGAAGGTTTATGGAGATGCGTCTGGCCAATTGATAAACTTCCAGAAATCAGGCATTCAATTTTCCTCCAATGTTGGGCCCTGTCTCAAGCAACAAATTTGCTCCACCTTGGGTATGGCTACGGTTAAAGAGGGCTCCAAGTATCTAGGGCTTCCGCCCTATTGGGGCCAATCAAAGATGGAGGCATACAACTTTTTGGTAGAACGAATGATGGCTAAATTGCAAGGTTGGAAACTCCAGTTGCTATCCCATGCTGGTAGAGAGACTTTGACAAAGGCGGTGGCTCAAGCTATTCCCACCTATGTTATGGCGTGTTTTCTTTGTCCCAAGAAATTATGTGCTTCTTTTAATAAGCTTGTGAGTAAATTCTGGTGGAACGGAGACCCAGCCAATAGGGGTGTCCATTGGGTCGCTTGGGATAAAATGAGTAAGTCAAAAAACCTTGGTGGTGTGGGTTTTTGCGATTTTCGGGCTTTCAACAAAGCTCTGCTAGCTCGCTAGGGGTGGAGGCTCATTCATGACCCAAACTCCTTTTGCTCCAGATTCTTGAAAAGTATCTACTATCCACATTCAGATTTTTTGAATGCTAAAAAAGGGGGTCGGGCTTCATGGGCATGGGCTAGTCTAATTGAAGGGTGGGAGGTTCTCACTAGAGGGGGTCGTTGGCAAGTACATAATGGAGCTTCAATCAATTTATGGAATGATGGATAGTTACCCTCAGCTAAGGACTTTCGTATTCACTCCCAAAAACCTAATGGCTGCCCTCTTACTCGGGTAAGTGAGGCTATTAACCCATGTACTAAGACTTGGGATGAGAATCAGCTGGAATCTCTGGTTTCTGATAGGGAGATGGCTGCTATTTAAATTATCCCTGTTTCGGTGAAAGACAAGGCTGATTATGTGGTGTGGCATCATGACCCTAAGGGGACATACTCGGTCAAATCGAGGTACCGTGTGGCTTTGGACCTCCATCACAGTTTGCGGGAGTAGGAACCATTTTCTTCCTTTTATGTCCCAGAGAGTGTTTGGAAGTTCCTATGGGCCCTCCATGTTCCCCCCAAACTCAGGCACTTCTGGTGGAGAGTGTGTCACAATTCGGTGGCCACGAAATGCAATCTCTTTCGGCGACAGTGTGCTTCAGACGGCCTATGTCCCATATGTGCCAAGGAATTGAAGAGTGTGGAGCATTTGTTATGCGGTTGTAACTGGGTGCAGGCTGCTTGGTTTGGTAGTTTGTTGAATCTCTCTTTCCAAGGGAGATCTATTCCTTCCATAACCAAATAGACTTGCGACATCTTTGCTGGCTTCTCAAATACGCAACATCGGTAAGAATTCTTTTGTAAATTGTTGTGGTTGGCTTGACACATTTGGAAGGGAAGAAATGATTTTATCTTTAATCATGTCCTAATTGACCATCTGTCTGTTATCTTTAAAACTGGAAAGGATTTGGAGGAATTTGCTGCTGTGTTTCCCATCGGACAGCCCGTGGTTGGCCGCCAGGATTTTGCTCCAAGGACCCTCAGGTGTGGACTTTTCCTTCCCATAGGAGGTTAAAAACAAATTGTGATGTGGCCTTCATTCCAGGGTCGTCTAGAGCTGCTATGGCGGTTTTGTTTCAGGACTGGTCAGGATCTCTAGTGTATGGGGCCGGTCCGAATGGAAGCGGTGGGCTCTGTCATGCAAGCAAAAGCTATGGCTGTTAGATGGGCATGCCTTATGGCCCAATCTCTTAACGTCTCCCAAGTTGAGATTGTGGGCGACAACAAGACAGTGATCCACTTGTGCACCTCTGAAATGGTTCCTTCGTGGGAGTGCTCTTCCATTTTTGCTGATATTCAAACTTTGGCTTGTAGAAACAATTTCCTTTTTCTTTGGACTCCTAGAGAGGCTAATGGTACTGCGCATTAGACTGCTAGATAGTTCCTTAATGTTGTGTTTGGTTGAGGGATTTGGAGAAGGATTTGGAAACGGAAAGGGAAAAGGTGTGTGAAACTAGGTGAAATATAGACATGTTTTATTCACATTTCACCTACCTTTTCCATTTCCCTTTCCAAATCTCTCCCCAAATCTCCCAACCAAACACAGCATAAGGGTCTTTTGCCCCATGACTGGTTTTGTAATCCCCCTGATGCTTTGCGTCAGGCTTTGATTTTGTAATTTTTCGATATCCTTATCCCAGTTCAAAAAAAATATAACTATCCCCGAACAACCAATTTGGCAACGTTTGGTTTAGTTTTCAAATTAACATTTGGATCAAAAAACATGTTTGGTTAACCAATTTTCAAAACTCTCTTCAAAGTCTTTCTCTCATCACTCCTTCTCTTTATTTATTTATTTATTAATAAATAAAAAAATCTATTTTTCTCTCTTATCGCTCTTCTCTCTTCTCTTATTCTCTCACATTCTACACTGCAATCAATCAAATTTCTCATACCCATATATTCAACTACAAATATATATATATATATATATATACATATATATAAATCATCCCAAAATAATTTTCAAAACTCATAACCAAAAAATTTTTAATTTTCAAATCTCTTTTCAACAACTTATATTTCAAAATACAACTCAATACTCAAGAGTTTTTGCAAAAATTAAACCAAACAGAGTCAATATTTAAAATCTAATATTCTAAAATGTGAAGAACAAAAACACTTTTTTTAAATAAACTTTTTTTTGGGGTAGAGCATAATATTTTTCGTAAAAAGTTTGCTCAGAGAGAACTTATGAAGGTAATTGGATTACAAATGATATGTCCATTTTGAGAATTAGGTTAAATGTCAGTTTATTAATTTATTATTTTTTTAATCATATCATCTCTTTATTTTTTTATACATTTTTTTTTAAAAAAAAAAAGTCAAACAAAACTAAAAAAATTAATTTTCAACCTGCTTCCCAAATAATTTGTTTGAGTAAAAACAGGATAACGCAACAAAGTAATACCTCCGGTTCACTTAAGCAATTGGAGTAATTATTGGGTGCTCTAAGAGTATTGTAATTGGTAGAACCGGTGAAATTCATGATTTTATATCAAGTAAATGGAGAATATGAAAGGACATAATATATGATGATTAGTGAAGAGTATGAACACGCGATACTCTAAAAGTACCCAATAATTTTTCAAGCAATTGCAAGCTGATGTGATTATGACAAATTCAATAAGAGTTTAGTTTAACTCAATTTCTTAAAGGAGGAGAATCCTCTCTAGTTCAGATTTTGGTTTGGAGAGCATTGTTTGGGCCCATGGAGCCCACTACGGGTCCCGTTTCAAAATTCAAACATTTCATTTTGTTAAGCACTTTGTAAATTTCATTCAAACAAAAAATTAGATCGATTCAATAACTGCAACTTGTTCAATTTATTACATTTGTCACCAAAAAAATATATGATTTATTTTTAAACATACAACTTTTTTGGGTTAAAAACATTATAAATTGAATAAGTTACAGTTATCAAATCGACTTAATTTTTTGTGTGAATGAAATATGCAAAGTGTCCGACAAATAAACAATTCGGATCATTGAAATGGGATTCGTGGTGAACCCCATGGGTCCAAACATCGCTCTCCCATAAAAAATCTGGACTGAAGGGGATCCTCCTTTATTAAAATACTTGACTTTTTTTTTTGTTGGTTTTATTTTGCTTTTTTTTGTTCTTGTTTTTGTTTTTGTTTTTTTTAAAAATTTTAAATTTATTGAAATTTAACTTTTCTAACTTTGATTGTTATTTTATATTATTTAAAAAATATAATAGTCCTATATGTACACATAAAACTTGAAGTAACAAAATTTCTATTGATTGATAATCAGATCGTACTGAATTCAGTAATTGAATCAACTCGAATTGAATATTTATTGATAGATTTAGATTTTTTAAATTGAATTCAAATTAATTCTGATTTGTTGGCAAGTGTAATTAGATTATCGGAGCGGAATTTATGGTGACGGGCAATGGACATCTCTTAAGTTGGAGAGAATCTAAGGTTAAAGTCTTGATATTTTATTTTGCCCGATCGCATATATTTTTGAGTTTTCATTTCTCGATTCAAAGGATCGATTCTTGATTATAACAGGAAGAAAAAAAAAGAGAAGAAAGTTGTCTTTGTTTATCAGTGCATTAATAATTTTAAAACCAGTATTGACTTCAGAATTAATCATAATTAAGTAAAACACGCAATACAACTAAAAAATTAATTAACAACAATTTGAGCCTTTACTTCGATGGCTGTTCTAGAGATAGACAAGTTAACAACCTTGATGGATGTCGTGATCATCGACAACCAAAACCAAGATGGATTTTAAAATTAATACAATACACAACAAAATACATTGAATAAAAACAAGTGAGTCTCTACTGAATAAATAAAATAGGTGTCCAAAATAGAGATATAGGGGAAGCTCATACCGTTGTTGTTGGGTTTTTTTATAATTAACAATTTTATTTGACAAAATTTATTTCAGTTATAATTTTATTTGTTCTTTTGTTTCAGCGAGGCTATGAATCTTTAGATGTTAATCCAATTCGAATTGTGCCTTGCAGATGAGTTTGTGATCTTAATTCTTTTATGTTTGTCACGTCGCTGATCATGGCAGGTCTGAGGCAACGCCCAAGCAAGGTCGAGGGGTAGCCTCTCGACTTTTGCAGAGTGCCGGTTGAGCGGTCATTTGTGCAAAGTCATTTGACCGGTCGAGCGGTCATTTGTGCGCTCAAGCAAAGAAAATGATCATCTAGTACTTTTGCAGAGTGTCTGAACTTCTGAGAAGAAAGTTTTATCACTCGAGCGGTGAAAGTTATACTCGAGCAATCAGCCTATATGTTTCACACTGTCTTTAGTCACACTGCTCGATCGATGAAACATGCGCTCAAGCGGTTTTTGCGATCCAATTTACTATAAATTATGTTGTTTGCTCATTTTAAGGTTTGCGACATCCAGATTTTCAGAGATGAAGAAAATACAAAATGTTTTATATTGGATAGTGTTTTATGAGTGTTTCCTTGATGATTTAAGAGTGGTCAATGGATCTATGAACTTTAGATCAACATCATCAAAGGGTTTGTTTATTTTCTTTTATTCACAAAAGAGAGAGTTGTTCTTCGGTGGATTTCGAGAAACTTGAGCCTGAAGCTTTGGTAGATTCCGGAGTGGTTCATCGTCGTGGATTCGACATCGACGTTGTGGATTCAACGTTGGACAAGACAATTCCGTGATAAAGACGGTGGTGGAAAAGGTGCATTGGGATCTGTTCAATTCGGATGTGAATTCGTTAGGTAATTGAGAGTACATTTGTTTAATTCCTTTTTGTCTTCTTAGTGGATTGTTTTGTAACTTTGGTCCGTTTTTTTTTTTTTTTAATCACAATTGGAGGCGCTCCAATTGTAATTTTTTCACGTTAAATCGTTATGTTGATTTTTCTTTGATTGTTTAATTGAGATTGTTATTTATTGTTTAAAAATTAAAACAAAATCATAAATCAATATCTCGAGAATTTTAGGCTGTGTTTGGTTGTGAATTCAAAACGTGATTCTACACGTGAACTCCCGCTTCACGTTTGGATAGGATGTTCAAAAGTTGATTCAGCGTGTTAATTCAAATTAGATTTTGAAAATCTGTTTGGCAGCTTGTATCTCCACTTTCAATGTTTCTGAAAAGCTTCCATGTCCTTCTCTTCCATTGTCTCTGTTTCACGTGAACCTCATCTGTGTATCAAACCTTAGGGATGACCGGGCGGTAGACCTTGGGAATGACCGGCCAGTTGTCCTCCTCTCTGAAGATGAACTGGCATCAATTATTTTATAGAAAGGTGAGGTTCAAGAGGTTCAAAAGGTTCAGAAATGTGAGATTTTATTCAGATTTTCTATTAATTATTTTAGAAAAAAATTAAAAACGTATTTTATAAGATGTTTGTATAGGCGTAAAAAATAAATTGATAGAAAAATTAATTGACACAAAATAATTGACATAGGTTTATTTTAAAATGACAAAATTATTTGAAAAAAAAATTATTCAAAAAAAAGATTTGAAAAAAAATTAATTGACAAAAAAATGGTATTTTTAATGTCAGTATTTTAAAAATAGTTTGGTTATTATTGTTGATAAAAAATATGGATATCGATAGAAAAATTAATTGGCAGAAAAAAATTGACATCGGTTTATTTTAAAATGAAAAAATTATTTCGAAACAACAATTATTCAAAAAAATTACTAAAAAAAATAATTGACAAAAAAAATCAATTTTTAATTTCAGTATTTTAAAAATAGTTTGGTTATTATTGTTGATAAAAAATATGGATATCGATATATGAGTTGTGTGTTTGATGATAAATTATTAGTTGAATTAAGTTTTGAAAATTATTTTCAAAACACATCACCAAACAAATTTTCACCTTTCACATGTCACATCAAACTTTCAAAACTTAATTCAAAATACATTTTCAAAACACAATTCAACACTCTATTTAAAAACCATAACCAAACAAATTTTCTACATTCAAATCATAATTCTACAACTCACAAACTCAAAATACAACTCATACTCTCAAATCACATTTATAAAATACAACCAAACGCAGGCTTAGATTCTTCAGTTGTCCTTTTTATTCTGTGAACTATTTTTGTATGGATTGAGATTCTATTCATTTTATAGATGAAATGGAAATTTACATTTTATGATCAATACTTGTAAAAAATTCACGTCGACAAATATTTAGGCCAAGTTTGACAATTCTTAAAAAATTCAAAAAGTCACTATCTTATTTAAATCACATCATCTTATTTAAGTCACATCACCTCTCTAACACATCACTTCAAACCTAACCCAAACCCAACTCATATTTCATAAAAAGTTAAAAAATATACTTATTTAGTCTTTCCAAAGTTGACCTTATTTGGAATAAGACTCTTTCACTTGGTGGTTGTGTAGTATCATTTAATGATGTGAAGTGTTTGGTTCAAATTTTATTGAGAAAAGTTGAATATCTTTTGATTATTATTTTTCTCTTATTATGATTGTTGTATAGAGTGAAATTAAATGGAGATCTCTATCATACGGAGATCATAAACAAATTTAGAATATAGCAAAGTGTAAGTATATTTTGTCACTCAAATTCATCATGTAAATTACACTAAATAAATCTCAACTACACCCTACATTATTTGTATATTTTTTTGGTTCAAAAATACTAAAGACCTGAAATATTCTATTAAAAATTTTATTATTTAAGGGTGGTTTGAGATGTTCTAAATAAGTTCATTTTTTGACTTTTTATGAAATATGAGTTAGGTTTGAAGTGATATTGTAGAGAGGTGATGTGCCTTAAATAAGATGATGTGACTTAAATATGATAATAACTTTTAACTTTTTTACTTTTTTAGTATATGTCAAACAAGGCCTTAGTGTTCGTTTGGATGTCCTATTAAGGCTAAAATAGTTATATAAAATAAAATATGTTATTTTAATCAAATAGGATAAAATGTCACATCTAACCTATAATCATTTTATTTTTTCTTTCACAAAAGTCAATAAAACCAAAAAAATCTATTCCAAATAAGACATTTTAACCCTAAACTAAAATGATACAAAAAAAATTAAAATTCAACCTCCATTCCAAAAGAGCTCCTAACACTCATCCCATTAAAAGTGATACTCTAAAGCACCATTAATGAGTTGATAAGCACTTTAAATAAAAAAAAAAACAAGACACAAACAGTGTCTCCCGTCCACTACCACAACACTAGTGATGCTTGTAGAGACCACTAATATAAGTCTCATCCACTACCCCATTACTACCCATTACTAGTGGTGCTACCTTTAGTGGTCTCAAACAGAGTACTCCCTCCGTCCCAAAATATTAGTCCCTTATTCCATTTTTCATTGTCCCAAAATATTAGTCCCTCTTCAAAAATCAAGTACAAAAATAATATAAATTTCCTATTTTACCCTTCTTTTAAATTAATAAACAACATAAAAAGTACAATTATGCATTGATATTCTCAAAAAATGTACTATCAAAAGGATAATTTTGGAAAATCAACTTTTTTCAAATGCAATAATTGTACTACCAAAAAAAGTTGGATTCCCCAAAAGGGACCATTATTTTAAGACGGAGGGAGTATTAAATAGGAAAATTTGAGGAGACCACACATGAGTGAGGGAGACAACCAACACCGACTTCATTCTTCCCCTTATATATTCTTTCTTACTGACATTCCAATCCTTGCTACAACTCTCTCTCTCTCTCTCTCTCTCTCTCTCTCAAAAATGGGTTCAACAACAACACAACTATCTAAGGAAGTTCTACCTTACCTCAGGGTCTACAAAGATGGAACCATCGAAAGACTCGCCGGAACTGACGTTGTCCCAGCAACCTTCGACCCGAAAACTGGTGTTATCTCCAAAGACACCGTGATCATACCGGAGACCGGTGTCTCCGCCAGGCTCTACCGCCCCAAACTCACACCGGCTCACAAGAAACTCCCCCTGGTGGTCTACTTCCACGGCGGCGCATTTTGCATATCCTCTGTTTCCGATCCCTTCTACCACCACTCTCTCAACGTACTTGTCTCCAAAGCCAACATCGTCCTCGTCTCCATCGACTACCGACTCTCGCCGGAGCACCCTCTTCCCACCGCCTACGCCGACTCCTACGCTGCCCTCCAATGGGTCGCTTCCCACTCCGGCGGCGACGGTAGCGCGGAGGATTGGCTGAAAGATAACGTTGACTTTGACAAAGTGTTCTTGGCAGGGGATAGTGCTGGGGCAAATATTTCACACCATATTGCGATCCGGGTCGGGTCAGACCCAATCCAAGGCTTGAAGTTTCATGGTATTTTAATGATCCACCCGTATTTTTGGGGGGAGGTGTCGATTGGATCCGAGGTCACGGATCCGGTAAGGAAAGCTATGGTGGATTGTTGGTGGGGGTTTGTTTGCCCGTCGGATAAAGGAAATGATGACCCGCTTATTAACCCGTTTGTGGATGGATCCCCGAGTCTTTCCGGGTTGTGTTGTGACCGGGTTATTGTTTGTGTTGCTGGGAAGGACATATTGAGAGATAGAGGGAAGCTGTACTATGAGTCATTGGTGAAAAGTGGGTGGCAAGGGAAGGTGGAGTATGTGGAGATAGAGGGTGAAGATCATGTTTTTCACATCTTCAATCCATGGTGTGAGAAGGCTCTCAAGATGATCAACAGTTTGGCATCTTTCATAAATCAAGAGTGATATAGCTGTACTAGGTGCGCAAAATGAATTTTATAGCGCTGCCCTCCAATGGGTCGCTTCCCATTCCGGCGGTTGTGGGGCGGAGGATTGGCTGAAAGATAACGTTGACTTTGACAAAGTGTTCTTGGCAGGGGATAGTGCTGGGGCAAATATTTCACACCATATTGCGATCCGGGTCGGGTCAGACCCAATCCAAGGCTTGAAGTTTCATGGTATTTTAATGATCCACCCGTATTTTTGGGGGGAGGTGTCGATTGGATCCGAGGTCACGGATCCGGTAAGGAAAGCTATGGTGGATTGTTGGTGGGGGTTTGTTTGCCCGTCGGATAAAGGAAATGATGACCCGCTTATTAACCCGTTTGTGGATGGATCCCCGAGTCTTTCCGGGTTGTGTTGTGACCGGGTTATTGTTTGTGTTGCTGGAAAGGACATATTGAGAGATAGAGGGAAGCTGTACTATGAGTCATTGGTGAAAAGTGAGTGGCAAGGGAAGGTGGAGTATGTGGAGATAGAGGGTGAAGATCATGTTTTTCACATCTTCAATCCATGGTGCGAGAAGGCTCTCAAGATGATCAACAGTTTGGCATCTTTCATAAATCAAGAGTGATATAGCTGTACTAGGTGCGCAAAATGAATTTTATAGAATAAAGCACAGATGTAATTCAAAATATTTATATCTACAAATATATATATATATATATATATATTTGATAGCTCTAAAATAAGAGTTTTAAAGGGGTTCTAATTACGTGGCACTAGTCTATGTGTAATTATTGTTACCTTTTATTGGTATTTTTCGTTTTCTTTTGACTTGCCAACTCATTAAAACTCTATTTAGAGTTATTAAATTAGAGTCATGTATCATTGTTTTTATATCTATATATCTCTACCTTCTGTATTCGAAACTTTCTGTGTGCTGTGATTTCTTATTTTAGTTTTGGTGGTATACTAATGGGTAATTCGTACAATGCACGAAAATTTAATTTCAAAATAAAAAATTAATTTTCAGTATTAATAAATTTTAATAATTGAAAGTTAAATATAAATAAATTTGTTAATGATTGATAAAAAAATTTTGTTACTGTGTGTGATTCTATGTAAAAGGCTTACAAAAACAATTTCTTTCAATATTAAAAAAAAGTTTATTCTCAATCGGAAATCAAATCTTCATTTGTGTTAATCAAATTTAAAAAAAAAATTATGAATTCCATTTGTATCAAAATATATTTTTTTGAAAAAAAATAAAAAAATGAGAAAATTCTATAACATACAAATTATAACTCGGTTATAATTCATGGTGTATTATTTTAGTTATTAATTGAAAAAGTCTTTACTAATTTATTATGTTTTTAGTATGTCTAAAGTGATGCATTGAATTTTCAATTATGTTTCAAGTGGTATTTTATTTATTTAGATTTGTGCTTCAAATTGTGTTTGATTATGATCTATTAGAATATTTTTATATGACAACATTTAAGTATTTTATTACACGAAAAAGTGTTTAAGGTGGATTGACTCAAAAGTAGGATTTATATTTATATCAGTACGATCGTAAGAGTTATTCACATTGATATATAAAAAATTATAAATTTAAATTAAACAGCATCCTCAAAGAGAATCAGGTATAAAATCTCTATAAAATTAATAATTTTAGTTTTCAAAAGGGTTCTGATTAATTATGTGACACATCCAACCAAATTATTTTTGCATATCTTTTCTGGCAGAGCTCATAAAAGTGTATTATCAGTAATACTATAAATTCAAAAAATTTATTTAAAAATTATTCAAGAAACATTAATAAGTGCCTTAAATATACACAATCATTTTCGATAATGTAAAATAATACTCCACACTATTTATCATTTGACATTTGTTAATTTATCTTCTAAAAACTTAACAAAAAAAAGTATTGAGTTACATTATTTTAATCAATTAATATCAAATTGGATGCTACACATGTATCTAAATCAATTTTAGAAATATAATGTCTGATAAAAAATCACAATAGAATTAATTTTAATTAATATAATGATATTTTATATTATGAGATAAATTATTATATTTTTTAATATATATATTTTACAATCATTTAACACAAAATGTAAATTACAATTATAGATATTAGTGTTGGGTGTTTGATTTGTATGTTGAAAATGATTTTATGAGTAGCATCTATTTTGACAGAGCACTATTCATGCACTGTTCATCACAATGCATAATTTATTTTATATATTATATTGTATATTTACTATTCATCAAGCAATGTTTTCTCTATTTACTTGTTGAAAAATAAAACCTTACATGTGAGCTACTCATCTTTTGAATAAATTCATTTTTTCACGTGCTCAAATCTTCAGCATGGAACATCCATATATGTTTTCCTCCGCGAAGCATGCTTAATTCTTCTACGATTTGCCATTTGCATGCTGTCTGCAACGACTACTTTTTTGAAAATTATATAAGAGACGCTCTAATTGAAGAAAAGTAGATTTACGGAGAAAAGAAAAGTAAGATAAGTGGTGAAATAGTTGTGATATTCAATAGAGTTCTCAAATTATTTCGTGGTGCATTTTTATTGAGTTATAATTGTTTTTGAGAGAAAATTTATTGAGAATTTGAGTTTTTATTATAAAAGAGTTCTCTATCCTTTATTTTTATTCTTGTAAAAAGAGTGACGTTTTGTGAGTGATTTTATTTTTTTGATAAAATCACTTGGGTTAGGTGTGACTAGCGCCGGATTCACAACTAGTTAGTTGAAGTGATCGGGGTTGATCAATTGTTAAGATTCGTTAACACTTGTGAAGGTAGGAGTGTAACTACTATTTGACGTATAATGAAGAAATTTCAAAGAGGATTTTGAAGAGTGGACGTAAGTTTGGTATGAGTTGAACCATTATAAATTCTATGTTTACTTTCTGTTTCCTTCGCTTTATTTATTTTTATTAGTATTATTTATATTGTTTCATATTTTATTTATTTATTTTTCATTTGGATTAAATTTTAATTTATTACTCTTATCTTTATTGCTTCATATTTTATTTGTTTATTATTTGGGTTAATTTTTTTTTTAATTTAGTAATTTATTTAGAAACTCAATTCACCTCCCTTTTGAGCTGCTTTCTGGACAACAAGTAATATAAAACTAAAAGTGATTCTAATTATTTAATTTTATTTTTATTTTTATATTTATTTGGAAATTGAAAATATGTAGAAATAGAACTACACAAAATTTATTTAAAAAATTAAATATAAATATGTTGTGATTGGATTACGAAAAAAATATATAAATTAATTATGTAGGGTATCGATTTTTTCTTTAATATTCTCTTTGAATTATTCATATATATTGCATATAGGTATATAAAATTTAAATTAAATATAAATATTTTGTAATAAATAATTTCATGTTAAATAAAAAATTAAATATAAATTAATATTAGGTATATAAAATTTAAATTAAATATAAATATTTTGTAATAAATAATTTCATGTTAAATAAAAAATTAAATATAAATTAATATTAATAGATAAAAAATATAAAATAAAAAAATAATTTGATCCGTGTGATATACATAATTAAACATTATTTATCTTATTTATTTATTTATTTATTTGTATATCAAGATAATTTTTTTTTTCAAATATCATAATAATTAAATTATAATTATATATAGAAAATAAGTATTTCACAAATAGAGACCATATAAAATTGGTTATTATAATTAAAATTGAGTTTGTGTAAAATTTTGTATTTAAATGGAAAACTGAGAGTGGAAAATGGGACCTGCAACTGACATGGGTAACTACTTAGGCCGTCTAAATTTTGTGACCTTTATATAATAAATTAAAATAAATAAAAGGATTCAATAAAAGTTCTAATAAAAAAATTAAATAAAATAACATACACATTGGATTCAATAGAATAGTATAATTCAAATATCTGATCACATTACTAAACAAACATAGAATTTAATAGAATAGTCCAATTCAGACATTATGACTAAACAAATACGTGATACAAATCCAGTTCAATTAAATAATTCAGAGACATATCTCAAAACTAACAATCTGATGAATTATAATCTTTCCTTATCCAATCCATTCAAACAAACACACTCTACAAGTGGGGTAATTATTCAATAATCTCGGAACATGGATACGTGATATTCCATAGTATTATGATTGGTAGAGAATGTGAGTATATGAGGTATTGTATTGGGTAATTAGAAAATATGAAAGTAGGGATGGCAATTTGAACCCGATCCGACGGGAACCCGATCCCCTGACCCCGATTAAAATGGGTTTTTCCCGAAAATTTTCCCCATAGGGGCGGGGATGGTATTGAAAATTAAATCCCCGACGGTTCTCGGGCCGGGGCCAGGGACGGGGATAGGTTTCCCCCGCCCCCGCTCCTGCCCAGTCTCGGCCCGAATAATCCCCGAATAATTCCCCTAAGATTCCCCGAATATTCCTCATATATATATATATATATATATAATACATGTTTATGTTTACGGTTGAGTTGTCTGCCTCTCTCTCTCTCACTCACTAACACTCTCACCTCTCAACCTCTCTCTCTCTTTGCTGCAGCTGTTCCTCACGACATCGGCATCGGCATCGGCGTCGGCGTCGGCGTCGGCCGCGGTGGCGACTCCTCCACTGTCCTCTCCCTCCTCCTATCTCGTTGATCTCCGATCTCGCCGAACTCACCCATCTCGCCGATCTTTCCGATCTCACCGATCTCCCTCCTCGTCAACCAAGGCAGGCAAATGAAGTGTGTAATATGAAGGACACACCTGGCTGGTCACAAAACGACGAGGGACGACTTCTAACTGGATTCTCTGCTTGGCCGATGTTGATTGCTTTTTAGGAGGATTCCCTTTTGAACGGGAGGGATTAGACTTGGAGTGTTTTTAGAAGATAACGATCTTTCTGATCTCACCGATCTCCTTCCTCAAGAACATTACGGCGACGCCTTTCCCTTGCCGGACTCCGACGCCTTGATCTGTATCAATATTGATGATTTTGGTGATTGTTGTTGATTTTGATCTCTCTGATTTTGTTGATTTTGATCTATTGTGTATGATGATGTCGCTGCCTTGATCTGTATTATTGAATTTTTTTTTTCTTTTTGACCGGGGAATTTTCGAGGTCAGGAAAACTTGATCCCCATTAGGGGGCGGGGACGGGGACGGTGGTAGGTTTCCCGTCGGGGATCGGGGCCGGGAACAGGGGGATTATCACCATCGGGGATCGGGGACGAGGAGTGTGATCCCCGGCTCCACCCCGACCCGTTGCCATTCCTATATGAAAGGACATATTAATGCCTCGTTTGGAAACATGCTAATGTTTTGACTTTTTAATTAAAATATGATGTAAAAACAAAAAACTAATATGTTTGGAATAAATTTTTAATTTTTTATGAAAAGATGTGCAAAAAGTAAAGAAAAAATAGAGTATTTAATTTTTTGGTATAAGTTGTTGATTTTTTAATTTTTTTAATGATTTTTTGACTTATATTTAAAATCACCACTTATTAAATGAGACCTAAATAATAATTGATTAAAGAGGATAACTACTCTGAAAATATTTAATAATTTCGCCTATAAGTGCATGGGGGGTTTGATATATGTCGGCCCTGTTTGGTAGGGCTTATTTCCAGTTTATTTCAACTTTTAGCTTAA